AAAAAAAATACACACTGCCGGTCAACTTAACACACATGCGCACATGCACACACACAGATGTATATTGTACACACCCACCCAGTAGCAACACGTCCGGTATCAATATTCTATTTTGTGTACACACACCCTACATCTAGTAGTAAATAAGAAAATCCCTTTTATGGCAACTCCGCAGGCCAAAAAAAAATCAATACGAAATACTTTGTTGTACAAAACTGCATTTTTACAAGATCGACCGACATTGTAACATACCCCTCGATAATGCACTACCTCCCTACGAGAAAAAAAAAAGAATAATCAAATCTTTATACAATTGTAAAAAAAAAAAAATTGTAAGCTGCTCTGCAACCTTCCTTTGCTAAAAGTTAGATACATTACACCATTCTAGCAGCAGATTAATAAATAAGGATTAAATAGTCTATTATACAAAGCCATACTGAATGGCAGATTTTAAAACCAAAAAGCTCTGCAGATACTTTCACTTCCTACACAAATCTTTCCTATTAAGAATAAGACTCAGTATGAAACAGGGAAACAGCCAGCACTATACCTCTATCTACAGAATATAAGGAAAATCCAAGGGAAGTCAAATATTTAACAGTTTATGGCACCTTTACTGCAAAACATTTTTTTAAAGGCTCTGTTTCCCTGTAACTCATGAGTAAAGGGCTACTTATCTCATAGCTTTTATTAAGCAAACTCGATATAACCAACCACACAGTGGCAAGAGACAGAACCAGCTGTTCCCAGCTGCGAAAATGTATTGATTTCCACCCTAAACCAAAACCATTGAGGCGTCAAGAAAAGAAAGAGTAAGTCACAGTCCCGTTTGCACTGAGTTTCCTAATGCTGCTTAGTTCCTCGCGTGGCCGCTTCACTCTTGTTATTGGCGTTGGGTTACTGTTGCTTAGTAACTGTTTTCGTGCCCAGCCAAGATGTAGAGATTGCTGTGTGCAGTCGGGTTTTCCGTCGGCCTGCTTTCCAACACCACCACTCTGCAACCAAACACAAACGGAACCCGGAGTCGTTAGTGGCAAACTACACAGCGCGTGCGCGTTAACTACCAAGGAGGATGTCCCAGTTTTAGCTGGGACAGAGTTAGCTCTTCTTTTTAACAGCTAGAAGAGCTCCGTGTTTTGGTTTTACTCAGAGGCTCGCTCGGAGAAGAATGCTGATAGCAAGCTGATGTTTGAGACTCCAAGGACTTTTCAGTGTGCCGGAGTGCAGAAGCACGGCGGGATAAGGGGGGAGCACAGCTGGGACAAGGGGGACACGATTCCCCTTGTGATTTGTGGTGGAACTTAAGATTGAGGCCAAACCGGCCAATTAGTATTCCATCATGCCCAGTATAAAAGTGAGGGGCAGCCGGACAGAAGGGCTTTTGCGCTTTGGCTCTTTCGCCACTTTTGCTCTTTCACGCTTGCTGCACTTTTGCTCTATTGTTTTTCTTTCCTTTTCTCTCTCTCCCAGTACTCCCACTCTCGGAGTACTCTCTCTCTCTCTCTCTGCCCCTCTCTATTTCGGGGCCTCGCGTTCGTTTGGGATTGCAGCTTCGGGACGAGACGGGCTTCGCATACGAGGGGGTGGTGAGCACCTACACTGTGTATTAAATCATCTGTATTAAATTGTTCTTACCTCAACCCACAGGTTTCCCGTTTATCCTTTAATTCTCTCCCTCATTCCTGGGGCTGGGGGAGGGTGAGTGACTGGCTGTGTGTGTGGGGGGGGGTTCAGCCTAACCCACGACAGAGGAACAAACTGCTTGCTCGCAAGTTTCTACCGACTGGAGGGATACAAGTTCTCCTCAATACCTTGGGAATTTTATTTTTCAAATCAGTGACTTCATTTTCCACTCCATGTAACATTACTTCTGATAAAAACACTAAAGCAGAATACACACGGAACAGAGAGGTAGGAGCAGCTTCCTGAACCAGAACCTGCTCCTCTCAACCACGTGCGATGTGTGACAAACCCCTTCCTGACCGACATGCTCCACCTTGGAATCAGCTATGTCCTCTGCTTCTGTTGGGAAGTTATCTCGGAGCCAGCGTTGCGAGGAGACACGACCCTCCTACCATCTGCAGCCTCAACGTGTTTATACCTCCCATGTCTTGCGATAAGCATCAGTCGCTAACCTAAACAGTTCTCCTCCCTTCTAAATATTTATCAGCTGCTGGGCTCATAGGGAACACTCAACCCCATCTCAGCCTTTGTCCTGCTGGATCACGTTCCTGTAGGCTCTTCTGGAAAAGCTGCCTCTCCCCATCTTGGCACGCTGACCACTGTCTTCTCACGTCTGACCCGCGCTGCACCTCGACAATCATCTCAGCACCCGGTACAGTCGGGCCTTTGACCTCTCCTCTCCCTTCCAAATGCTTACCTCCTGCATTTCTCTGCACCAGATCCCAGAACTGTTATCCTGCCTTTTTTAAGATTAAACTCTCTGCTTTTTGCTTTCTACTCGTGTTTCAAATAAGCCAAAGGTGCCACTTGAACTCTGAGATTTCTCAAAGGGTCAGCATTGCACACACTGCCCTCCCACTTTACAATCCCCAAAGAGTTTTCAAATGAAGTCTCACTCTTAACAGCCTCTATCCCTGATCTTCACTTCTGCAACTTGGAGGTTCTAAAGTGATCCAAGCCAAAAAGGTCCTACTCTGTCCATTCACTTGAATGGTGGAAAAGACTCCTGCTCCACTTGTATGGAGATGGAAAAAAACAAAACGAGGGATTTGGCAGCTCAGTGAGATCAGAACGGAAGAAAATGGCTCCTCTACAAAACTGCATGTTGCAGAAGGACTTCGACCTTATCTCAGTTCCAAAAAGTACTTTGTACTAAGTTGTTATTCAGGTACGCGCGTCTCCTACAAAAGAGCAAGCAGAAGCAGGTGAGACGCTGATGCCCGTCCCTCTGTGTGCTTAGGATGCTTCCATGTTCACCAGCCCAACACAAACATGAGCCATTTTAAAAGGCACCAATTCCAGCACACAAAAAAGATTCATTGCTGGTGGCACAGCACGTACCTGGACTACTATGTGTGACATCTGTACTGCAGCGGACCTCAGCAAAAGCTTATTCCTGTAACAAAATGTCCCTGCTCTGCTGGGGGTAAGAGGGAAGGAAATCACTGCTGCCTGTCCGCACCAGGGGGATAACAGAGAGAAAAGGCAGAGTATGCACTGTCAGAGGTCACACTGGGTTTGTATTTTTGAGATCCTGGAGTCAGCAGTGGTAAGGATCCTCACTTCCAGCTGCAGTGGGTCCTCGGTGACTCCGGGGCAAAGCAAAGCCTTCCGCTGTTTCCCGTATAGGCTTCCCCTCCTCTTCAAAAGAGATAGTCCACACTCACTCTCTTTCTGGACTGGGGATCCAAGAACGTAAGCATACAAAATTACGGATTATTTACAGAAAGCAAGTCAGAGTCAGGCTTCCCAAGGGTCAAATGAGGGAGCAGAAGATCAGGGATTAGAACTGATTTCTTGACTCAGCACCATCTACTCCTACATTCAGCACTCCGGCTATCTGAGAAACTGCAAGTACACGGGTCCACATCCAGAGACTGGGGCAGTCTGCTGAGGTTTCCAGCCTGGAGGTGACAGGAACCCAGCCACTGTAGGTGACAGGAACCAGCTCGATGTTACAGGTAACGGGTGAATTTAGACCACTGTGCGTTAAAACTCGTGTGCCATCTAGTTTGCTCTGCTATCTCCAGACCTCGAGGTCCAGAGCAGCCAAGATTACTTTTAATTAACTCATTGCCAACATAATTCGCCAGCTCACCATGAGAATCCAAGCCAGAAGCAGGCTTTTCCAGAAGTGCAGCAGGCACCACTCTTACCACATGCCAAAGTCTCTCCTCATCACTCATCTCATAGATTTCACAGATTTCTAGGTTGGAAAAGACCTTAGAGATCATCGAGTCCAACCGTCCCTAATCCCCATTAAACCATATCCCTAAGTAGATCATCCACCCTATTCTTAAACACATCCAGGGATGGGGACTCAACCACCTCCCTGGGCAGCCTATTCCAGTGGCTGACAACCCTTTCAGAGAAGAAATGCTTCCTAACATCCAACCTGAATCTCCCCTGACTAAGCTTATACCCATTTCCTCTTGTTTTATCACCCAACATTATCACCCATCTTGTTCTATCACCCATCTCCTCGCACTGTATCTCTACACACCTGTGTTTGTGTTCACACTTCCACCAGTGCAAAGTGGGGGAGGTCACAGCGGCTCTTGGTAACGATTTTGGATGCAGATGCAATCACTAATTAAATTTTTGGCTATTGCAGGCAGAAACAGTGTTATTGCCTCCCCCAGGACTGCCTACAGACAGACCTGGGGTGGGCTGAAAGCCAGCTGGAAGCTAGAAAGCTGGTTTAAAGAAAAGGTTTATGTTTCTTCAAGGTGATTACCTGTCTGAGCCCAGTAAGCGGAAAACCCTGGTTTCATCTGATATCTCCTGGGTAACCTGTAGAAAAATGGAGACATTTAGGTCCGTTTCAGTGGCAAAATGAAATTTATTGGTCTGAGTTGGATGGAAAGAAAAAAAGATCAGTCTCTTAAAAAAAAAAAATCAAACGCAATTTAGTGCAAATTACAGGACTGAATCAGATAAATCGATGCTGAGGAAAAAAAATAGTTTTAAATTTCATAAAATATAACTTATTTTAAATATTTTTTGTGTTGAAACTGTTATCAGTCTAGATGACTTGGTGGCACAGATGGAGAATATTGATCAAATCTTTGTCAGCGGAGACTGACTACCTTTCCTTGCATTTTCCCAGAGGATGCCTTCAAAAAGGACAGTGTTCTTTCTGAAAAAAAGACACTTTTTTTAAAGGAACACTAAAAAAAAAATTTTAAAAAGTGTCTTTTCTTTAAAGGAGACGCTGCCAACTTAAGCTTTTCATCCAAGATCCCCAAATGCTGCTTATATCAGTTCTGTACTGGCTCTGTGCAGAACCAGTTCAGGAATCTCTGTGGTATTCTTGGAAACAGAGCTGGCTAAAGCATGTGTGTGAGCTTTACCAAGAGCAACATATGCAGGCAAGACAGAGAAAGCAACCAGCAAGCTGAAGCAATGACAACATGGAGCACAAGCATCATCCCTAGGGAGGCAGCTAGAGGGGCCATAAGATTCAGGGGTAAATAAGGAAAAGGAAGAAATTAAGCCTGGAGATGGGAGATTACTTACTTCATCTGACTTAAAGCTTTTGCCCTGCATGCCATGCTTCCAGAAGGCCAGCACACTGTCTTGAAGGCACACTGCAAAGGAGAAACACAAAATCAGACCCAACTTTGGCTTATCCGAACCAAAGAACCCGGGCTTTCTCACCAGCGGTGATAATGGGAAGTATGTGGAGAAAGTACGTGGTGAGACTTGGGACTCCAAAATCATAGAATCATAGAATGGTTAGGGCTGGAAGGGACCTTCAAAGGTCATCTAGTCCAACCCCCCTGCAAGGAACAGGGATATCTCCAACTAGATCAGGTTGCTCAGGGCCTCGTCCAACCTGGCCTTGAACGTCTCCAGGGATGGAGCATCCACCACCTCTCTGGGCAACCTGTTCCAGTGTTCTACCACTCTCATGGTAATCACAGTAGAAAAACTGGATTGAAACGACTACTTGGATCTGTGACGCACATTACTTTTAAAAATGCAATTCAAAACATACCACTCAGACTCCCTGCTTGCCAAGACAAGACAGGCATCTCTCTTTTCTCCCTTTCACTTCCATCCTCTGGATCTTTGTTTTTCTAATGATTCTGGAGAAAGCACCAGGAAGTCTACAAACATGTTGCCAACCAAAACACTGTGGGTAGTTGGAAATTACAGATCATTTGAGTTATTATGTTTACTTCAAAATAGACCTGAGTATGAAAAACGGCAGGAGCCTTCCATTCAGAGCCAAAGAGAGAACACAGAAAGTTACCAGCTCTGAATGATTTCATTACCAGACTGCTGACAACAATGGATGAAGAGCCTGGTGTTCTTCAAGCAGTGTTACAGAAACATATTTTACATCGTGTTTTATTTTCCTAAATCCTACTTGCTTTCCTTTACTATTGCTTTGAGTCACATTTTGTATCTGCTCAGTATTAGCCACGTCCTAAATACACAGAACAAAGGCATTCAGCAGAATCCTAAAAAAGCAACGTCTGTCACACCAGCCTTAGACTAATCTTCACCTGCTACTCCCCACTCCTGCAATCAAAGAACCAAGAGTTGCTTAATACTCTGAATTCCCAAGAGACCACTTGGAGTGTAAAGAACTGCTCACATTATTCTGTGTCAGCTCCTAAGTGCAAGACTTCAGGATAAATACTTCTGTCTACGATTTCCTTCAGAGTTCAAAGGAAAGGCAATGGTCGAGCCATGTTCTGCATGCGTCAGCAGGAGATATTGCATGATCCAAGTACAGCAGCTAATTAGAACGTGTCAGAATTTGGGGAAGAATCATAGGCTTGATCAAAAATACCTTCCTTCAGGACAGGTCTGAACTATCTAAATAGAGACAGAATGAATCACAGAATCCCAGAATGGTTTGGGTTGGAAGGGACCTCAAAGCTCATCTAGTTCCAACCCCCCTGCCATGGGCAAGGACACCCTCCACTACACCAGGTTGCCCAAAGCCCCATCCAACCTGGCCTTGAACACTTCCAGGGATGGGGCAGCCACAACTTCTCTGGGCAACCTGTGCCAGTGCCTCACCAATGCTGTATGAAAGCATACACACTGCTTTACCAACTGCTGTTAAAATCCAAAATACCTATGTCAAGAACCATCTTCTAAAAGGAAGACGCCCGAGGAACCCAGAAATGCAAGTTGTGTGGAACTGCTAACAAAAGTAAGTTGTGGCTTTACTGATTTTGATTTCAGAAAGAAGTTCGGTTTCTGAGATACGGAATTATTAAACTTATCTTAATTAGATTACTTCTGAGAGCTTATTACAGCAGAAATACTTGCTTGAGAATTACAATTCAAGTTTTGGAAGCAAAGCTGCTGTCCTCTAGGAGTCTAGAGACAGAACATATGGGAGAGGGCCTAAGACTAACACAAATGTATGTATTACTGACACATTTTTTCCTCCCCAAAGATTTTTCTCAGTGCCATGGAAATGCCCAGGAACCAGTCAGCCTTTTTTTTAAACCGAATCATGATACATCTTATAAAACAGAAATGACACCAGATGGAACCACACGCAGATTCGACACGCTATCTGGCAACTGCCTTGCTTTCTTCAGCGTGTCAGTGCAGACAAACAGACAGCTCACAACATCCTGACACATGCAATTTTTAGTGTCAGGCTCTACTGGGTGCACTGGACCAGTCCAGATTATTACAAACCCTTCAACACTCACCCCTCTAAGTTCTTAAGTCTTTGAGAGACAACGGAGAAGCAAACCACTTACCCACTGACTCAATGCAGAAATCAAAGCTCAGCTCAGAGGCCAATTTCTTGCTTGATTTCAATTTCCCTTGTAAATTCACAATTTTCACAAATTCTCAAGAAAAACAGAAAAAAAAACAAGTATTAAAACCCACTGCTGAAAAGGATTACTGACTGCTTTAAATATGAAACATTAATTTCATCTTTCAGGCACAAAAAAAACACCCAAACTTAACATCTACAGTATTTGCCCAAAATGAAACCAAGAGCATCCTTCTCTCAAAATAAATATGGAAACCTTCTAACACACTTTGTATGTTTTTAGACTCTACTGACAGCCTTCCTGCAAATAACAAACACTACAGAAATGTGAATTCAACATAAAGGCTAGAAATTTAGGCAGATTAAGTAATTGTAAAGTTCCCACTGAGGTATTAACCTCTGGTACCTGAGAGTTATGGTTACAATTACTGTGCATGATGGAGCAGTAGCTATTTGTCCTGGTAGCATATGCAACAAGCAAATGTCACTTTTCCCAAGTAATTTGAAAATTCCTGATTGGCATATATTTGAATTCTGATCTGTAGTGCTGCATTCCATTTCATTTTGAAAAGAAACGAGAACGATAGACACGTGAAGAGGGAAAGTGGAATCACAAGAGTCAAAATGAAAACGCACTTATCTGAACCGGCTCTTTTCAGAAATTTTACAGCACAAATTAGTAATGAAGGGAGAAAAATTAACTTGTGGTAGAGTTAAAATCAACACCTCTGGCAAAACAAGTTTTGCACAAGCTGTAGTAAAGTTGCCCAACACAGACATGTTACTTACTGTCCAGGCAGACTAGGACCGTGTCTCTTTCCAGCTGTGTTACATGAATGGCATCCAGCTGCTGATTGCCTTGTGAAAAAGAAAACAGATTATTTTATATCACATCATAAGCCTGATATCGGCCTCCCCTCAACCTCTCACCAATTGCTACAGCCTTTTCAATACGCTACCAGCCTTTTGCAATCTGCTATATTTGTTACCCTTCTAAATTTTTTTAGGGCCATTCGAATCCCAGAATGTATGGGACAGGGCCTAAGGACAAACCCATCAGTTCAAAGCAGGTATTTAATATGAAAACACTAGTGTTTATTGGCATAAAATAGATTTTATGTTACAGTTCAGCACAGCAAGTCAGCTTCCTGCATGAAGAGGCACGATAATGAACAAAAGGAATCATCAAGGGAATCTTCGCTCCTACAAAAATGCTCTTTTTCCATAAATCCACATCTGGAAAGATTATTGTGCTGATATTAAACTAGATTTAATAGTTTTTCTAGATTCTATTAATAAACGTCTTGGTACAGCTGCTAAAAAGCAGTATTTAAATGTAAAAAAGTACATCCAACAAAGTCAGCAGAGAAAAGCATCTGCAAAGTATCAACTAGCTTTTGAAGATAAAACACAATCTTCTACTTAGTAACAGCCAGCTGAAGATGACAAGCTTCCTCCAAGGGCTGGAGGACAGACAAGAATGCATTTATGGGCGTCTTTACACAGGAAAGAAGGGGAAAGAGGAGAAAGACTGACCCCAGGAAAAAGTATGCAACCACGAACGAGAACCCAATCAGCAAGGTCTGCTTTACTACTTAAGGAAACCTACGAAATAAAAGATGTGTCTAAAAATGAAGTCTTTTAAGAAAGATTGTTTATACTGAAGTTGGCAGGTCATCCCAGGAAGAATCATAGAATCCTAGAATGGTTTGGGTTGGAAGGGACCTCAAAGATGATCCAGTTCCAACCCCCCGCCATGGGCAGGGACACCCTCCACTACACCAGGTTGCCCAAAGCCTCATCCACCCGGGCCTGAACACTGCCGGGGATGGGGCAGCCACAACTTCTCTGGGCAACCTGTTCCAGTGCCTCACCACCCTCTGAGCGAAAAATTTCTTCCTTGTATCTAATCTAAATCTGCCCTCTTTCAGTTTAAATCCATCACCCCTTGTCCTATCACTACATACCCTTGCAAAAAGTCCCTCTCCAGCTTTCCTGTAGGCCCCCTTTAGGTACTGGAAGGCTGCCATAAGATCACCCCGGAGCCTTCTCGTCTCCAGGCTGAACAGCCCCAACTCCCTCAGCCTGTCTCCATAGCAGAGGTGCTCCAGCCCTCCGGGATCAGCTTCAATATGCTTTAGGTAGAGAAGCTGCATCACTCTGCCTAGCCTGAAGGGTTTCCAAACAACCTAAGGGATACTCAACAGTTACCAGGCAATAAAATGGCTGGAAGACGGACCAACGGTCTTACCTGCACCGATTTCTGTAAACCACGAAGAAGCAGAGTTCAAGTTGATTGTCTCAAACTGAACGACCTGATTGGGTTCAGAACCCTTACTGATAGCGACGCAGACCATCGGGTACTCCTGCTCCGGTATCACGAGCATTTCAAACACATTCAAAGGGCTTGGCAAAGGAAAATCAAAGTGCTGGAAAAAACATAGTAAGGCATTTGTAAAGTTCCCTTTTCCCTCAGAAATAAGATGCCTAAAATAACATGCACAAAGTATAAAAGATACAGAAGCATTTTTCACTGCTGCTAAAAGTGCTTTTTTAAGACAGCACGAGCTGTGAGCAACATTACGTTGCGCAGAGGTGTGCGCTGGTCTGTTATTGCTAGTGCTGGGCTTGATCCAGCACTTGACTGACTCCAGTCACAAGGTTTTCTTAGTCAAAATGTGTCAAGCTAGAATTTCAAGTGCTCAGAACCCACAAACGGGACTAGTCTGGGATGTACTTTCCATTACAAATTCTGGAAAGGTTATTTCAACAACTGTATAATGACTGAGATTAAATGTCCTACACTAAAACGAAATACTTACCTTTATCAACATGAATTTCTGCATTGGCTCATACCACTGTAGTAGAACAATTCCAGACTGCAACGCACCACACAGGTACTTATGTCCTGTGTATGGATTTCGTACTATATAAAATAAACAAACACAAAAAAATCCAGAAAACAACCTGTTTAAGTCCTGGAAGTTCAATGCATATTTGAAAAAAAAAAACCACCCTATGGCTGTCTTTACAAATAATTTAAGAAACAGCATCCATTTCACACTAACTGCCTTCTGGCTTGCCATTCAAATATCCACAGAGATTAATATTGTGCCACACTCCAGATAAACTCAATTATAATTAATAACCACGAGCATTCTTTGAGTCCCAGTAAAGAGGCCACGTGCTGAGTGGCCAGAAAAGCTGGAATACCTTCTACCTGGGGCTGTGTCAGCAGGGGGAGTGAAAGGTCCAGGTCAAGTTGTAATTGAAATTAAAAAAAAAATTCCCAAGCAGTCAAGTCTTTGACAGCTAATGCAATTATAGGATGAAGGGTTTGGGGGTTGTTTTTTTTAAGCTCAGTTGGACGCAAGACCAGCCTGACTTCAGGGATCATTTGTAAATATGGCTATTGTAGACACTTCGTAGGAGCTAAACAGGATACCCCAGTATGCAACTAGGTACTTTATAGTCTGCTTAAGCTTTTTTAAGACTGCAGAGCTACCATTTCATAGATTTCATAGATTTCATAGATTTCTAGGTTGGAAAAGACCTTAGAGATCATCGAGTCCAACCATCCCTAATCCCCATTAAACCATATCCTCAAGTAGATCATCCACCCTATTCTTAAACACATCCAGGGATGGGGATTCAACTAGGGCCAGTTTTCAGGAGGAGATGCATTCTGTAGAAAACTCAAGTCTTTTTGAAAGTCAGTGAAGCCAGAGACAAATCTGTAACTCCACAAGCTTTACCTCTTCTCTGGGCACTTAGAACTTGAGCGATGGCTTCACTCCTCCCCAGGGCTGACATCATTTTTATTCATGTCCAGCCTTTTCTTGGTGGAAAATACTCTTTCTCAAGCTAGCCTTGCTAAAAGTCAGACCTAGGTCAAAGCTTGAGCTAAACTGGCAAACCAAAGGGTGTTTCTTTACGTGCAACAAGTCTGGGATTCTGTAACACGTGTTACACTGGCAGGCAGGCTGCAGGTCACCGTACCGAGTTGGCTCGGTGGCAGCCCGATGCCAGCGATCCCAAACACCGACTTACTCGCCGAGAGCTTCGGTAGCTCCCAAAGAGAGTGTGCAACACCCACGAGCTGCATGCTTACTGGCATTCTCCAGGGCTCCCCTTTGGACCTTGGTCTAGACAGCAACATTTATGGCTTAAGAGTTGATAGGAAAAATGCTTTTCCACCGAAGAGCATAAAGACCCTCACACTAATTAAAAAGAAAGCTACGCACCAGTTCGGTTCGGCATCAAGAAATAACGTGGTCGTGCTGTTTTCATAGAATCATAGAATCATAGAATGGTTAGGGCTGGAAGGGACCTTCAAAGGTCATCTAGTCCAACCCCCCTGCAAGGAACAGGGATATCTCCAACTAGATCAGGTTGCTCAGGGCCTTGTCCAACCTGGCCTTGAACGTCTCCAGGGATGGAGCATCCACCACCTCTCTGGGCAACCTGTTCCAGTGTTCTACCACTCTCATAGTAAAAAATTTTTTCCTAATATCCAACCTGAACCTACCTCCCTCTATTTTAAAACCATTACCTCTCTGAACAATGAACTAGCTACAAGTTTATTAAAAAGAAATGAGTTTAAGACATGCCCAGCCCAATGACAAAGGCCAGGGAAAAGACCGCAAAAGTGAATGTCTCCTCACCTATACAGCATTTGTGGCATCCTTTTGTGTCAGGGATCTTTGTCGTTAAGGCAAACTTCCTGGAAGCACAATAACGAAAAAATGCGTCAACGAGAGATGCCGAAGGCCCTTCATGCTGCCGACTCAAAAGCACAAACAGTATTTATGGGAATTCTCACTTGTTAATAATTGTCTATAAATGAAAGATTTGTACCTTGGTAATATTTTGTCAGGAAATCTGTGGGTTTGAATATGAGCAGCTAATCCTGTTTTTTTGGCTTGTTCGAACAAAGCTATTAAATTATGGGAGTAGAGCTGGAATGTTTTCCCTGTAAGAGAGAAAAGCACAACTGACATTGCATCCATGCCTCCCCCAGAGAACTGCACGTTTTAGAAAAATGTATGTATAGAAAATTACCTTCTAGAGAAGCGGAGCACGTGCGTCAGATATTTCAAGTCCGGTTACGAAGAAAAACAAAACAAGACAACAAAAATAATGCATATAGAGGAGACATGGCACATTCAACTCAAAAGTTCATTTCAGTGACACTAAAGCAGCTCTGAAAGTTAATTTTATGAACACGTTTTTAGAAGGCTGTAATTATACACCAACGATTAATTGTATCAGGACATCTTCGTAATCTATAAATCAATAAAAGTGGCGTTACACAAAATTCTGCATGTTTAAAAGCACAGTCCTACAATCAGATTGCATGCCACAGTGCCCCTGTTTCTGATTTAGAATGTCCTATTTCAGGACAACTGCTGAAAAATGTATTTTTTCAAGAATCGATCTGCTGGACTAGTAGTATTACACAGCCACCTCACTTTGAAGGATCGAATTGAGACTGTTTTTGTTTCAGGGTGGATTTATTTTCTGAATCTGATTCGTACAAAAGAGGCTGCCAGGCAACAATACACTGAGAGTGATCAAACACTGCAGCTATATTTTGATAATGCACCTACGTTAATCCTCTCCTGATTTTGTTCTGACACGTGAAAGTCATCCTCATTCCAACTCTCCCAGCTCAGGGACCAAAGGTGAGGACACTCTTTAGACTCTCTGGGCACTTTCAGTCAAATTGCAGCCTTGGCAGAGGCAACTCTTGTTGAGTTTTTTGTCAGCTCTTGGTTGACAAATACCAAGTCCCGAGCTTTTCCAAACTAACGAAAAATAAATAATAAATAAAACGCCATGGGACACTGCAGGCAACAGCTCCACTACTTGTAAAGATCCAGTTTTATCCTTGAAAGTCTTTCACACGAAACAATGCAGAGTTTTCTACTTCAGTACAATTAAAATTCACGGTACTGAATTATGACTTTAAATGTTTCTCTTTATTTATAATTTTATTATTTTTCCCTCTGTTTCTACATACCTGACAAGGACATTAGGGTGTTATTGATAACGTACAGCCAGGTGCACTTTCGGGGGAATAACTGAAGAAAGAAAATATTCCCATTAATAGAAACATACAGCAATTCCTTGGTTTTCTCTGCCTGCTCCACCTCTGCCACCATTCCTGCAGGGATCAACACTGGAGAAAGTCCCAGCTGCAACTACATTTTCCCCTTTAATTCACTCTTTGTACCCTTGCTTAGCCCTTTTCTCTGTCTGAAATAGTCTTTATTCCTTCCCTCTTCTACTCCTGAAGCTTTCAAATTTTGATTTTTCTTTTTTTTTTTTTTTTTTAATTAGCAGCACAGAGCCAAAGTGAGACAATTGGCAAGATTGGAATACCGTATATAGAAAGATACGGCTTGCTCAGGAATGACAGCCAGACATAAAGAAGATAAGGTTGTTACAGAAACCTACTAAACCCCACAAAAGTCAGAAGAGGAGGGAAAAAAAGGCATCAGTGTTTTCTGAGTAACTTGGAATTACCACAAAATCCTGTATTTTGAGAGACTTACCTGCCTGGCTATTTGTGTTAGCATGCTGCTTTGTAAACAGGCAGCTCATGGAAGGCATTGGGCTGATTTTTGTTTCAGAGGGAAGAAGTGACTCACAGGGCAGCTAGTCTAGATTCGAGAAGATTTTAAAGTTAAGAAGAACCTCTTGAAAATCTGAAGGAGGAAGGGAATTTTGATCAAAGTGATGGCACATCACAGCATTCGGGAGTCTCGACAAAGGAAGGAATAAGGACAACAGAGTAAGGACATGGATTTTGATTAAAAACCCCAAAAACTAAATTTATTGAACAGTATTCAAAGGTAAGGTCCTCCCATGAGAAAAAGTTTCAATATGAAAAAAAAAAGAGTTCATAGGATTGAGCTGTTTCGAAAGGAGACTATTTAAAAAAGACAACAGCAGACTGGTCCACTGAAGGAAGGTGTTGCAAAACACAGTGGAGGATGCTTGAATCAAGGCTCTACAAAAGAATAGCTGTACTGGTTCATGCAAGTCTCCATCTCACCTAATACATGTTTCCAACAGTCACCACAAAGCGACAGAATTTCTCATAAATCAGTGAAAACACGGAATACAACATATATAATATTGCACCTAGCACTCTGCCAGGCACCAAGTTCTTCAGCTCAGAAACCCACTGAATGCTTTATGCATTTAGTGAGCTTCAACGGATTTATCCTCCTTAAATTTGTCCAGTCTCTCCTCCGAACTCGGGTAACTCCTAGCATTTGCAGCTCCCCATGGTGAGAAGTCTCAGGCCAGCTATCCACTGTTTATTTTTAACTTGGCTCCCACTAGTTTCACCGAATAGCCCCACTGGAAGAGAAGGGGAATAGTCATTCCCTATGAAGCATCTCTAAACCACCCCAGGATAGGTAAATATTTCTTATCTCCCCTCCATGCCTTAAGCATCACAAATACATAATACAGAAAATGGAAACAAGGACACAGTGCGAAGGATGCAGAGGCAATTGCAAGGTAAGCCTGAAAGAAGAAATGTAAGACAGGCCAAGATGTAAATTGAATTACCAATGTAAGGTCAATAAATGTGACAACTGGGAAAACAAAAGGCTTGCCCAGTGCTTGATAGGAAAGAAAATGATTAGCACAGTTAACAGCACTGGGATAGAAGTAGGAAAAAAACACATTACACACTATTTCAACTAGATATACTCATGTCAGCAGGGCCCTATGAAGTTTACTTAAGTTTGCTTAAGAACTAGCTCAAACCCCAAGGTGTCAGTAATGATTATCTTCAAGAACTGATGGAGGACGAAGAAGGACCTCGAGGACAAACACAGTGCCTATGCCAAACAAAAAGGGTGGTGGGAATTGCAAAATAGTCTGACTGACTGGATAGCCAGCGTAGCACAGGAACAAGCCACACACTTATTAATTACTGTGGGATAACAAGAGCAGCTAGTGCAGGCTTGTGCAGAACAGGCTGTCTTTGAACATCGAAATTTCCTTCTTTAAACATCTAAATTTCCTTCTTTAATAGAATAACTGCCCTGCTGGGGCAGCGAAACAGTAAGATGTGAAACACATGTGAAGGACCTTGTCCTGCGTGCCATTTCCACAGGCAAAATAAGAAAACACGGGGTAGAAGAAACTGCAGAAAGAAAAGATACAACTGGTTGGACATAAAACAAGAATATCTATCAGCAATTTGCTATTTAATAGAAGGAGAAAGCAGCCTGTAGATACACAGCATCTTGTCTGGGTTTGGTTCTATTCAGTATTTTCACTGGATAACTAACAATGGAATAAAAGTATACTTCTGACATTGGGAGATACCAGCCTTGGAAGATATGTGATCAGAATTAGAAGCTGAAGAAGCAGTTAAAAATGTTCATTTGGTGGGGAGAGATCATGAAATGAATGAACGCAAATAAGGAAAGAAGTGGCATGGCAGAAGCACAGCTGTAAAACCTCTGGGGAGTGCAGTGGGTCACGCTCGACCTTTCCAAACTGAGGATGCTCTCACATAAAGGACACTTTCATTTTGAGATGTACTAAATGTCATAAGCAGACACTAGTAAGTTCTCTCTGTCTACCACTGGCATATCCAACCTTTCAATAGGATAAAAAAGGCACGTGGAAGAGTCCAGAGAAGATTGTTACATGAAATCATTTAGGAAAACGTACAAGGAAAGAGAAAGCTTTGACTAACAGAGTAAAGAGAAAATTGAAGTAAGAAGTCCAGGAGGTCTCTAACAGCTGCCACCATGATTTTTAGAAATGTATTCTAAAAGTAAGCAGTTGTTCCCCATGCCTACTGAGGCTACAAAAAGATAAGCAACTTCGTATGCAACTCTGTCCTATTGCACTCAGGTGCACCCTCAGGCCTCTTAACTTGAAAGGATCTTCTAATTGTATGGAATTCAAATTCCCAGTTCTCACCATCAAGCCCTTTATAACCTCGTCTCACTTTTGTCTGTGCCAAACTACCCCCCGACATGACCTTGCTGAACCGCTTCCCCTTTTTTTTTCCTCTCTTGAGTTTCGGCCCCTAGCACGATGCTCCCAGAACAGAGGACTCTCTCCTCTTAAGCACAGATCTCTGTGCAGTGCCCTTTTTTGTGAAATAATCTTTCTCTTGCCATTACTCATAGATAAACCCACCCTGCCACCTCTGCTTTCTGACCTGAGCCGTGTTCCAACTGAATTCAACGCTCTTCAAAGGCCTGAGGTGCCTTTGTGAACTGCTTTAGAAACCTACAGGTATAAATCTCATTATCTGCATCCACCAAGACCTTCCTTCCAAGAATACTCTGCTACTCCTGACTCTAAAAAGGCAAATGTAACAATACCATGATTGCATGAAGCAGCTTTGGAAAGGGTTAGAGAGCCCAAGGAAACGGAAGCAGATGCGTTATTTACTGGTGATAACAATGCCAGCTAAATTAAATGGTTGAGGGCTTTGGTAGCATCCAGTGGAGAAGCAATATGCCATCTAGTGGAGATCAAATGGAGAGAGAAAGGGCAGACAACCAGTTGCCTCCAAGGACAATAAAGATGTTTCAGCAGAGAACTCCTTTGAAAGCAGTGTTACATAAGCAGCAATAAAAAAAAATCAGGTAGGTAGAGGAACTATTAATTTTTGGACTTCCCTTGCTGGCTTTGATGTGAATCGGTTTATGCCAGGTTTATGCCTGGTATCCCATCTATCTCCTCTAATACCAAACTTTCTTGCTTCCTAATATGCCCAAATCTATTCTGTGTGTTCAATACACTGAAAATCACCTGTTCCATCGTTGCTTCATGAAGTTCATTCAAATTCAAAGTGTAGATACCTTCTTCTGTGCCAAAGATAATGTACTGATCTAAAAATCCAAGAGAAATAGATTATTTCACAAGCTTATTAACACTTTGGCAACAGGCAGGTTTGAAAATACAAACCTAAAATAACTCTACCTTTAGTATCTGGATGTATCCATGACGTTGCACAATTAATGTTCAAAGGACAACCATCAAAGACTTTGGAAAAACACGCTCCCATCTGAAAAACACCGAAATTGAAACCTGAAACAAGTTTGCAGTATAAAGTGTTCATCCTCTGGCACTTGGCCATTTAGCACGCACCCGTCCACACCGCCCCTCTCTCTTTCCACACACGAGCTTACTCTAACATGCCTTGATGCAAAACATTTTTATCTTCCCCAAAAGCTACAATTCATCCTTCCAAACCTTTTCATAGACTTCGTATACATCAAGAAACACAAAGAGGGATCAGAACGATACGAACAATTTTAAGTACCTACTGGGTAAGAACAATATCAAGCACTTATATAAATGACACATGAAGGGAAAACATGCAGAAATGTTGAAGCAATAACACCCTCTCACATCACTACCACCCCTCTCCCTTTTTCTCTTTACTAAGCAGAGACTGGAGATCACAGCCCACAGAGCCAGTGAAGTCTTCAGCCCTTCACATCCAGACTGAATGGTGAAAAGAAGTTTTTAAGAAAAGGAAAGAAATACTGTGGATTCGGCACATGAAAAGTAACTGGCTAGAAGATGCAGAAAATCACCCCAGATGAGCTGGTGGCTTATTGTATCATAAACCTTCTGACACTAGAAAGACACCGTGACAACAGGCTTTCAATAACTCCTACTGCAAAGGAGATTTCTTACCAGCACCTTCGGTGTTGGTGGTAAACCATTGATGGCTGGCTTCTGTGGGAAGAAAGAAAGATCATAAAATACCTCCCACGCACTGATATAAAACTAGCTAGCTCACATGACAGTGAAATCAGACTGAGAGTCACAATACTTAACAGGAAAATCTCTTTTCTCTTTTTTACGTGGCAGTTGAGGAATTTGTCCAGACCCTTCTGCGTTTTCTTCAATGAGTTTCAGCATGCCATCCCCGTTTCCTGAAAAGAAGCCCAGACACATTTTGTAGCTTACTTGATGCAGTGAAATACAAAATATTTTGTTGCTCTATCCTCTCTTCTTCCCTGTGTCTAGCAGGAGTGGAGAAGTGCGCTCTGAAACTTCTAAATACACATCTCAGGTAGCTGACCCCTTCCAAGGACAGCTGGACACTCTTCTGTGTGCTATGCTACACAGTAATAAAGGTTTTCCATTATCCAAACAGTCCCTGGGCCAAACACAACTGAGAATAAAGCTCTAGCAAGATCCTCACAGATGATCCTCCCTACACATTTGTTGTTTTTCTGCTGCTCCTGCAGGCAACTCAGTAATGCCGTTGACTGGCTGAGCGTCCTTGTTTTGGGAAGAACACTTCTACCATGGATCATGGCTCTAATAAGAACCAGTAGACGTGTAAACAGGAAAGCTGCACCTTGTGATCTGCTTGGATTAAAGAAATCATCTACTGAATATTTTCTCTTCCAGGATGCAAATCACCTTTAGGAAATGTAAAGCAGTTACCTAAGTCGCTGTATCTGGCCGTGAGCAACCCAGGGCTACTGATGCTGCTGGTCATCCCAGCGGGGGAAGAATCAGCCTGTGGCCCACAAACAGGGATACTTTGTCTCCTGTGAGCTGGTGGGGCTCTGTTCTGAGAGTCTGGGAAATGTTTTATTGTCTGACACTTCTCGTCATCTGGGAGGTTTTCCTCAGGATAACTGTTTATTCTCGGCTGCAACAAACAAGAGAGGTGAAGATTGCCTGGGAAACGGCACCTGGAAGCATAAACTTCAGACAAGTTCAATCAAGTCAGGCTGCTTCTACATAAAAGAAAAATATCTGCCTTTGAAAAAAGACATTTGACAGCAGAATAATCTAAGAGGTATCCCTTTGCTGATGGAAAAATCACAACAGCAGGCAGAATGCTGAACAAGAGGACATCCCACGCAGCATGTCCTCTCTAGAGAGAAAATACCTACAAGTCACTTTGTCTAGGGCAGCGTAGGTCAGGATTGCCCAGGGGCTGAGAACATACAGACTGCAAGTCAGCATAAAACACGAAGCTGCATGAAGTTTGCTAGCAAATGGTATTTAACAGAATTTATAACCTACTGAGAGCATCAGACAGATGCGCTTCAGAAGCTGCACAAGTGGGGTTTGCTGCCTAAAACTCTTAAAAACCCACAAACTCTTACCTTAGGAGGTAGCGGAGGTGGCCCTGCTCGTTTTAGTGTTGATCTGCAATGAGAAGGTGCAGTAGTCGTCTTAGTTAAACCACCAACATAAACAGAATTACTTGAGAACACAGACTGTAAATAAGATGAGCTAGAGGCAGAGAAAAGACATATCGCAGCTTTGCACAAACAGGGTTAAACTAGAAGTCCAAGAGTGGGGAAAAAAGCACGTTAATCTTGTTAGAAGTGTTGGGTTTTGATAAATTCATGTTCTTTCATAAATGCCACAGTTACAGAGCATTCTGGGGTGAAGGGTATTTGAAATAAGCAAATAAATATATATTCAGGGACTAGTTCCCTGAACGTGCCCCCTTCCACTGCTTGAATTTTACTTTCGCGCTTGTTTTTTCTAGAAAATCCTTCCTGACAGTGAAAATGCTGCGTTTCTGGATCGGCCAGTAGATGATGTCACAGAGCAATGTCCTCCCGTCATTTTTCAAAGTTCATGTGAAAACAAGTCTATCGGTCACCTACTCAGCCACCCCAACTGCAGCCGAACTTCGGGCCAACCAGCGAAGAGGTTCACCACCGTTCCGCACAGTTTGCATGATTGATTGATTAATCAACATGAAATCTGCTTTATGAGGCACTTCCATATGCACGGTAAGATAATCTCAGGAAGGCGAGCGAGGGAAGAGAGAGCTGAGAGAGTTGGGGCTCTTCAGCCTGGAGAAGAGAAGGCTCCAGGGAGATCTTACAGCAGCCTTCCAGTACTTAAAGGGGGCCTACAGGAAAGCTGGAGAGGGGCTTTGGACAAGGGTGTGTAGTGACAGACAAAGGGCAATGGATTTGAACTGAAAGAGGGCAGATTTAGGTTAGATCTAAGGAAGAAATTTTTCACTCTGAGGGTGGTGAGGCACTGGAACAGGTTGCCCAGAGAAGCTGTGGCTGCCCCATCCCTGGAAGTGTTCAAGGCCAGGTTGGATGAGGCTTTGAGCAACCTGGTGTAGTGGAGGGTGTCCCTGCCCATGGCAGGGAGGTTGGAACTGCATGATCTTTGAGGTCCCTTCCAACCCAAACCATTCTATAATTCTAGGATTCTATGATTCTAAGAAAGCATTGCTTTGCGAACATTCTCCCGACGATCGGATAAACGGTCAAGCGTGGGTTAGACCTTTGAGCGCAGCCAGTCCTCACTTATTTATGAGTGGCAAAGCTGCCTGCAGCATTTTAAGGAAAGAGGTTCTGCCAGAAGGCCGCCTGCTTTAGCGAGAGCTGCACGGGGTAAACACAACTGTGCACGAAGGAGGTCCACTCACTCTTCAACATCTTCACTCCCATCGCCAAATTTTGTAAGCAGTCCCCTAGGTAAAATGTTTATAGAATTAAGAGCTCTGCTCTAAGGTCAGCACGTGCAACTAAATCGATCAGTGATGTCATCTAGTTTCGTAATAAGCATCTCCCAGCCCTTTTCCAACATGAAGTGCTTCTCTTTTACTCACTGCATTAAGCCCTTTTTCATTTAGTATGGTATCCTCCTTCCCTTCCTCTCACCCTCCACTAATCATTGAAGCTCTTTTCCATACCTGATACCATCAACTCATCTTTCATTTCCCTACCTGGTATTTTAAACATTGTTGAAATGCCTAATAACAGTACAGTTAAAAAAAAAAAAAAAAAAAGAAAGAAAGAAAAAGGATGGGAACAGAGGAAGCTACTGGGAGAAAAATGGAGAAAAGCCTTTACAAAGGGAAGTTACCTCCTTTAGTGTCATATGCTAAAGACACCAGGCTGTTTCCCATTACAGTGGGAATTTTTGTTTCAAAGCTACCCCAGAGTCAAAAAAGAATGTGACTAGAGGATCAAAGCAGCACTGAAAACATCATCCTGAAACAAACAAAACCCGATAAAATTTTGCAAAATGGCAATTTTCAACCTTTGTCTTAAAAAAAATAATATATACAGCAGCAGCCCGGCGCGGTCCCGGTCTCTGCCTGCAGAGCAGACACCCCCGCACCCACTGACTCACACAACCTTCCACGATCCACAACACACCACGGCACCCACTGAGGAACGACCGCAGGGACAACGAACAGCAGAACAAAAAGTGTGTTATACAAAAACTAGCCCAGTCAAAGTTTGATTACTACAAAATTTCCCTGCAAGTTACTTTTGAAGGAAAAGTGCCAGGCAGTTGCCAACAGGAACTATTAAAAAAATTTAAAAGAGAAAAAAGTCCAATCATCATAATACAGAAAATGTATTCAATAGTAATTTTACAATACAGGAAATGTATTAAAAAGTAATTTTAAAACGCTACGAAATAAGAATGAACAAAACCAAGAAATAAGTTCAATCATCAGGCACACATTCCGGCATTACTCTTTTAGTTCCCGAGATGAAGACATCAATCACCGTTTGCTCTGACAAAAGCCAAAGGGCATGAAAAGCAAGGACCCCCCCAGCACATCCTCCCTGGCCATCCCTGGTATTACTCAGAATCGCTGGGACAGAGGAGTTATGCGCTTCCTGTTTATCTTTTCAAACTGGAAGTGGTTTCCAAGTAAGCGGCACGGATTCATCCTCCAGAAATTTTATGCCTGTCCTCCTTTCAATATGAAATCTGTACCTATTTACCGATTTACAGCCCTGGCAAGCTTTGCTACAGCTACATTCATTCCACTTTTAATACAACCTGGTTTAGACGACCTTAATAACGCTACAGAAACAGAATCAGATCAATAAGTCACTTTGCCAGGAGGAGCTTCCCTCCCTCCCCGCTCCTCGACCCCGCAGATTCCAGCTGTCTGCAGAAAAGCCAGCGCTTGCGAGAAAGGCTTTCAATCTGCAGCTCATCAGGGTCACAGAAAGAAACTGGGAGAGGAAGGAAAGCAGTGGCTGTTGTTACTGGGCAGGGAGACGCACCCCAAACTTGTGCTACAATGAGAGCGAGAACAGAAAAACAGGTCGAACGGAAAAAGACCCCGAACACCGGCAACCTCCGCGACACAGCCAGCCTTCCGGGGGCTGCAATGTCAGCTGACAGCTTATGCAAGACTTTATCTGCAAAAAAGCCAAAGAAATTCACCGTCTGCTACTCAGTTCCAAATAAAGATGGGAAACGGGCTCTTTTAGCTGAGCAATTATTTCAACCGAAATACCAGTTTTTTTTCATATGTGCATCAGTCAGTATTACTAAATTTCCATATTCTTCACTGCAAATTCAAGGATTGCCTTTCAAGGCAGAATCCAGTAGTTTGCAGCAAAAGGAAGCCACAGACCTATTCAATTCAGTCCTAACTTGGACAGAGGAAATCAGTTACAGCATTTTTTTTGTCATCCCAGAACACTACGTGACTGTGTTCTAGATGACACTGATCAGACACCCACAGCAGCACCAGTCGTGCCGTCGTACTGAACTTGGTAAAACCAAACCTTCAGAACTGGTTTCTCCTTCCCTTTCTCATGAGGACTCCCTGGAAGTGTCCAAGGCCAGGCTGGATGAGGCTTTGAGCAACCTGGTGTAGTGGAGGGTGTCCCTGCCCATATCAGGGGGGTTGGAACTGCATGATCTCTGAGGTCCCTTCCAACCCAAACCATTCTGGGATTCTATGACTTCAGGGCTGTCAACGTGCTTTGCCACAGGATGTCACCACCACAGCCGTGGCTCAGACGAGAAGTGCGAGGCCGGCACAAGATCCTGAACTCAGCCCTTGCGAGGTTACCAGCTTTGCTGCAGAAAATTTGTCTGTTTTATTTCAGTGTGCTGGCCATACATTTACACTTCGCTTCCCATCCACAACTGGGGAGCTATAACAAATTTAAATCAGGGTTAAAAGAGATTAAAACACATTCCCCAAGAGTATGACCAACCAATTTCAGAAGGAGGACTACATACCGGGTAAGATTGCCTTTAATTTTATGAATTTTGAAGTGGATTAGTCTGTGTGGTTTGATTTTCCATCATAACTCAATTTTTCTTTCAGAGCGTATTTTCGTATTAAGTCACAGAATTAAAAGATGTTTTTAAACTCCGTACTTACTTGCTGCTTCCCCCATCAACAAAAGGATTCCAATGTGAAGCAAAGTCAGTGCCAGCTGCCACAACCTGAAGATGCAGAAATTTTCATTTTTTTTCCCCATTCCTGTCAAAATGGAGTACCTTATCCACAGCACATGAAGAGGCCTGGGAGAATCCCAAGCCCTGTGGAATGACCCATAAGCAGTAAAATAAAATTCCAAAGTGAAATCGTGTTTTACAATCTAATTATAAAGCTGTTGTTGAAAAGATATTTTCTCCTTAGATTCAGACTTACAAGCAGCACCTGGAAATGGTGTAATGCCAGTATCAAGTGGCAATAAACAAGATAAATTTTTGCTTTCATGGTGAACACTCAGTAAGGATTTTCCACTCAGGGCACTTCCAAGACACTCTTCTAGCAAGAGGACATTCTGCAGCCACCTCCAAACTCTCATGAGATGCCATCGGCAGAGGCTGGGAGCATTCCTGTCGCTAGACATGGCACTGAGAGGACCTCACCAGCAACAACACGTACAGATCTCATCAGTCACATTCAAAAAAGATGATCTCATACCTACCTGGTGAACTGGAGTATAGCCACAAAAAAACAGGAATGGGATTCTTCTGGAGTGCTGAGCACTGATGTCTCCAACTCAAAATTAACGGCAGCTATTCACAACACTTATTAAAAAATGGAGCCCTTGTGCACGCAGGCACACACTAATCCCAAAGAACGTTAATGAGCTGATCCGTAGTAAACTGCTGGAACAAACAGCAGCATCTCACAGGGGCAAGACTGGCTACATGCGAGCTGGCGGCCTTCCAAGAAACAAGCAGCGAATAAATCCCAACGATGGGAAGATCAGGGACTCCAAGGCAGAACGGCCTCTTCGCATTATCAAACTCATTGGCACATGTTGGTTTTTTTTCATCTGAGCATGACTCTCCGCACAGAGCATAGAGGGCAATTCATTTTCTTAAAAAATGTGGCAATTGTCTGGGGACCAAGAGTGGTCTTCTCATGACTTTATACTTCAGAGACACATTACTTAGAGTCGAACCACAAAACAATGACGGCGCTATGGTTTTAATAAAGGAAGGAAAAAATAAACTCGTCCTTACCATTTCATCCCGAGCTTCTGTTTCTTTCCGCAGAGGGGGCTCAAACTGCAGCTTGTCAACTACAAAACATCACATTTTCAACTTTAATACACACAACATTATGCCAGTGTCCCTCCAGTGCCTACTACAGTGAAATGCATGTTGTAACAGATCTAAATATTATGTACACAACACTTTACTTGCCTATAAAATATGATTATCACTTAAATATCAGCATTATTGTCTAAATGCTTAGATTTGCAAACGTGAAACCCACAAGAAAGAAACAGACCAGAAGTAAAAACCAAGTCATTTTACATGTAAGCGCAGTAAAACATAACGATGTAACCACATGCTAATTTTAACACACGTGAAAGAGAAGCAAGAGCCTTCTCAAAGTGTGAAGGCAAACCTCCTAAAGTGTGATGTATGTGATGCAGAGGAGTAGAGAGCATTTACACCACAAAATGCATTTGTCCAAACCTGGAGAAAGACCATTTCTTCCCTCAAAATTTAAACTTAGATCCGACTGAGTTGTGTATTAATATTATTTTAAAAGAAAAGGTTGCATTAAAAGAAAATGCACTGTGTTAGCACGCACCCTGGTCAGGACAGCTACTGCAATCACAAGGGCTCCATCAGGGTCAAGAAAAGGTTTAACTTATGAACTTGAAACAGTGTACAAACAAACACAAAATGCTGCATTTTTTCTCTATTTTCTCATCGCATCATGACACCCACGTGAAAAGATCCGCTCCTAATTATCAGCTCACTCTCATTTTTTAAAGTGTTATTAGTGGTTTGGCTGTTGTCAGTAAGGCTGCACAGTCCAACAGAAATGGCAGAGCTGAAGGGCCAGGCTGGTCGTGCAAGGTTTCCACATAAACATCACGATGGAGCAATGAGATGGAATGAAACAGCAGAGAAATATGCGAGTTTTAATTTTGGTTTTGGAAAAATATTACCGAAGATTTATGTGTACGTGCTGTTTGTTCTGTTTCTCAAATGTGCCAACAGCAGGAGAGACTTTCCAGGGCACACAACAAAAGAACGACACCAACATCCTCCATGGGTAGAGGCAAACCAACACCACAAAAAGGGCAAGGCGCATCAGGAACTTACAGTTTATCTCCGACGCCGTTCTTTCTGCCCTAACGTTCCTGTTCGTGGAACGAATTGTATGGCGGATAACGGAGTGAGGCTGCAAGGGTGACAAACGGAAGAGCTGAAAAAAGTCATGTGGCTTTCCATTGGATCTCAATCAACAATCAAACCAGCAAGGAGAAAGAATGGCTGCTGCAATCACGCACTGTGACACGCACCGTCTTTGTCCCAGCCTTGCACGGGATCTCCCATACACCCACAGCACAAGCGTGACGAGCACTACAGCAATATTTCCTGGCTTCTCCCACACTGTAACTCTAAAAACAGAGCTCTAAAAATGTTGGGGCAGTGCCCCTGTCAAGACGTAATTCTTACGTTCCAAAGCAAAGCGGAGTATTTAAAACAGCAGTTTTACCTAAAACCAGAAAATAAAAGATGTTCTCACCTCAAAATCATCATCGTCAACTTCACCGTAGTGTGTATGGTTCTCAGGATTATTAACTTTGTCCAACAGCTCAACTGCTAAAGATCTTGAAAGACCAGGCTGCCCTACAAAGCTATGCTGGAACCACCAAAAAGAGAAAGTTGTAATATGCAACCGATACGTAACTGTCGTTAATAAACATCTTATATGGAACGTCACTGAATTTTGCCGGCTTTCTGGCACCTATCCCTGTTTTCCAGGGGCCTGAGTAATTCTTTACGACTCCTTAATGGCTGGACTATAACTCCTTCAGAAGTATGGAAACACCACAATTTTGGTCACTTGTAAATTGGAAATTAAACTCTGAGTGAAACAAACAATTACACCTTAATTTCATTTTTAACATGAGTGGTTCAGTCGAGTTTAGGGTGATAGAAATAGAGACATGAACAACTGCTAAATACGTCCGTTTCCTATTTGGGTGACAGGAAGGGTCCCTGTCTACGCAGCTAGACCTAAGAGGCTGAGACATCCACTTGTAGAAAGGGCAGGCTGAAGACAGAGGCAATTTTCTGTAATTTTTCTTACCAAAAAGCACATAAAAATCTTGATACCAAAAAAAAAAAAAAATCCTGCTAAAATCTACAGTTGACCCATGTCTCTCTTATTCAGATTTCACCACCCATGTTTAGGATCAGAGAAAGAAAATTGTTCCAGTTTGGTTTCCTACTGATCTGTTGCTCACTTTGAAGCAAGAGATGTCTTATTGGTGTCGTTAAATGTTCCAAGTCACTTACAGAAAGGAGTCTGTCAGCTGTCGGCCTCTTCTTTGGATTTTTTGTAAGTGCTATTTTGACGAAATTATGGAATGTTGATGACCTTAAAGAAAAATGCGGTTTTATGTTTAGTTTTTCAAGAAGATATTTTTAACACAGTTCTCAAACAAATTAGAAAAGGGTGTGCTAAAATAGATTGTTATCCAGGTACCTCATCTCAGGTGTGAATAATTACATCACCAAGTTAATAAAACAGGGGGAAAAACATTTGATTCAGGGAACTTGCATGGAACAGTTCTGGTATAGAAAATAAATTAAACACGTATGGTGCTATTTCAACTTTTTCCATTTTCAATTCTCACGGAATTAGGTATGAGAAATAAAAATTGGGAATTATGTACTCAGCAAAATCTAGGTGAACTTACCAGGTGAACTAGGTGTTCTTGGCTACACGTAGGAAAATAAAATACAAAGTTCTAGACAAAGTCCCAACTTACTCTTTAAAGCACCTTGTTGCTACTTTCAGCACAACTTAGGCGATCGTGCCACATAACCGCTTTTTAGATCCGAACTATGACTTGATGTTACGACTGGACCTACAATTTTCCAACCATTTTTCTGGCGATTGCATTTGTGTTAGTGTGCCTCTCCGGGGACAGCATCAGCCCAAGTCTGTCTGCTTTCCAATCACGTTACAAAACACATTTCCTCCTCTGGTCTCAGCACCCGAGAAGGCAGCACTGGAGAAGTGAAGTGCGTTGGCTGGGGTTACACTGAGCAGTTTCCACAAAGGAAACACACACTTAGAAATGTTTTCTCCCTTCCTCTAGCACACATCTGCCCACCTAAACACCTCGAGGTAAAAAGGTGGTACAGGAGCATCATGAGCAAAAAGTCCTGCACACCAGAATTGGTTTGAGTCTCATAAATAAAATGTTAGTAAGTGTGGTACCAAATCCTGCAGGCACTGGGAAGGTATCCCAGGTTAAAGAAATTATTGCTGAGTATTACGTGGCAGTGAAAGGATTCCTCATTAAAAGATTCCTCACAAAAAGATTAAATAATTACCTGTCCCACTGACAGTGGCAAATACCCTACAATAGGAATTAAAGGGAAAGGATAAAAATAATTTTTCTTCTTAGAACATACAAAGAGGATCCAAGAAGGGAGATTTCGTTTCCCTCCAGATCACTGGCTGGGATCAATTTACAGGTAGGACTGTCTGTCCTGTCCCATACTGCTGGTTTTCTGCCCTGTCAGAAATTGTCTGCTGCTGGACCTTAACCTTCTCTCGTTTGCTTTTAGACACCTATAAAAAACAACTAGTTGTTTCTCCGTGAAACTTCCTGTAAGCAAAATCACCTCTCAAGTTCCTGAGTTTAAAACTAGCACACGCTATTTTTCATTGCCTCCCTTCTTCAATAATGACAAACAGTTTTTTCACATTATCTACAAAATATTGAACAAAGGAAAGAGTTTAACCTACCATTTTGCTTTTTCCTTTAGCTTTGGTGGTTGAAAATTACTTTTTGACATTAAAAACAAAGCCCTAAAGGTAAAGGAAGAATAATGTTATTACATGATTAAAAAATAATTAATTTCATTCTGGTATCTCAACACTTTAATATTTTACAGTAAGAATCATACTGGTGAAACTGGTTTTTATCTATATTGTGTTAGAGGACAGAATCAGTAAAGCTGTTGATTTTCTTATCTTTAAATACAATCTTTTTATTGCTGTGCATAATCCTGTTAAACATAAAGCTACAGCTTCTCTAGTGATTTACCACACCTGCTCTTAATCACGTTGTTGACACTACAAAGTTGGGGTTTCTTAAATTAAAAATGTGAATGATAATTCTAAATTTAAGTCGGTAGCTTCAGGCTGACGTCTCAAAAACCACAGACGCAGCTCATGCAGAAAGTAGATGTTTGATGAAGGAATCCTAGTGTGAGTGTCTGGGTGGGAGCTATGGAGACAGTCAAACTCTATCTACTGGGACTGAAGGGGAACCTGAGGAAAAGCAAGCTCCTGGCCAGCAGACCTCATCGGGTGAAGATCAAACATGGGTGGCTGAAGCTCTGCAAGTTCAATCGCTGTTATGCCGACCGCCCAGATATCGCAGAGCTGGTTATATCCACCGTTCTTTTCCACCGCTGCAACTTCTGGAGCCATCCTTTAAAAGCAAAGACAGCATTCCATGAGAGCACCAGCTGCTTCTGGACAGTGCCCGCACGCGGGAGGAACAAAGCATACCATGCAATCCCAGAGCAGAAACTCCCCCAAAGACCATAAATCAGGGGAAAGCCTGACGTCCCCCTGCGCTCACCCGTCCCCCTCCGCTCACCCAGCACTAGGGGTGCAGAGAAGCACAAGGAGGTGACGTGTTTTGCCCGAGGTCACGGAGGGCTGGAGAGCATCGCTAGGAATAGAACCAGTCTCATGATTCCTGGTGAAACGCTTTAAGGAGCAGATAATCTTCCTGCCCTCAGTCCTCCTTCTCCAACAGGATAAAGAGGGCAGCGAACAATTAAAAGCCATTGTCTGGATTAAGCTGTATGTACACATTCCGTCTGTACCAAGAACACTGCCCGAGGCATCTCAACTGCATCACAGCAACCCAGAAACCGACAGCCGTTACATTTGCGTATATAATCCAGCTCGAGATTTACAATGATGTATTTGCATATTAAATGCTGTCTTGTACAGACATTAATCAGTAGAGATGATTAAAAGGTAGCTTAAAATCTGTTTTTCTTCACAACTCTTTCTGCACAGAAATCGAAAAGACGTTTAGTTTTTTCACTACATGTCTAAGAAGATACTGAGAAACTAAATGACCATCAGGTATCCAGAAAAAGGGGAGAACATTAATAAATTTGGGAGAAACAGCAATCCTGCCTCTAATATCAGGTAGAATGTGTTACAGAAACAGATCAGTGACAATCGATGCTACCCAGACGTTTACCCTTTGGGTATTTTACTTGGAAGAAAGGGAATTTATGCAATTGCTATACATTCAAAATATGTGTGTCTACTTCAGTGTGTGTATTTTAGAATTCTTGGCCTAACTACAGACTTAGCTTTGCATACAATCATAGCAATCAAAGTAGTTTATTACCAGTAAGGGGTACCAATAAATGATTTCCTCTTCGCAATGGTGGCTGTTATTTTTGCTGCTACACCGAAGTCAGCTGGAAAAGGAAATTATCATAGACTTAGACATCTCATTTTAAGACTCAAATTCTATTCTAGGAAGTATCATATTAGGAAAGAATAATCACGTTTCTCATCCAAATTAAAAATTAATTCAGCTTCAACAGTTAGAGGTTAATAATGAGATCAGCTAATGTCTTCACTGACATGAGTTCAAATTGAAAAGATGAGTTTCTACATGCAACTCACTCATGATCCTGTTCCTTTCCTATTTTTCCTTCTCACAATACAACAACCAAGCAATCTCAAAAAATTTAGTGGATATTCAATTTAATATTTGAGAGGAAAAATAGCATCCTGCTTAGGAAAAGGTACTATTTCTGTGTTACTTATGGAGGAACTGTGGGGGGCCATCTGTTCTCATTTCTGGAGACTCTGTCTAGAGGATGATAATCCCTTGCTCTCAGAGCTGCAGATAATCAGGTAGTCTTGCAGAGCCAAAAATCATTTAAGTCCTTTTTATTTTTATTGCATTTGTAGTATGACAGCTGGAGGATAATTGTGGGCAAACCTAACTAGCTTAGCAGGCAAAAGGAAGGTATCAGTGCATAAGCCAAGTTTAATGCATTTAGTGGAAGCTCCTATGAATGTCAAGATTTTACTCTTCTTTTTTATTATTATTTTTCTTCTTCTTTAAAAAGCTGTACTTTCCTAGCACAGAACTTCTGGCTCACCACAGGGGAGTAAGAGTGTTGAACCACACAGCTTTTCTGAAAAGCAGCGATGCAGCAAATGCACAATCACTCTGATTCCAACACTGGACACAGTAAGATGATGAACATCCCACTCCTTCTCCCAGGATATCTGCTCCCTACTTCCTGCAGAGCCCCAACTACACGTAGACTTCTGTGAAGTGAGGCAGCAGACAAGCAGATTGGGGTTTTGAAGGCAGCACACTCAAGATAACAAGAGATTCAGCCTATCTGTGCTGTCCTAAACGCAAAGCAGCACTGGAAGAGGCCAGTAATACAGATCTCTTCTGAGTTTTCATCTGTAGACCTCAGAGCGCTTGCAAAGGAAGAGAGTTTCCTCTTCTCCACCTGTGTGGAAATGCCCAATGTCATACACTGGGCTAGAGGCACAGCCAGGATCAGGCCCTGCGATTCCACAGGCTGCCAGACTCAGGAGATGCTGTCCCACACAGTGGGTCCTTGGAGGCTCCAACGGACAACTGCCATTCTGGCTAGGAACAAACATGTTGATATCCAGGTAAGCCCAACCCAGCAAATTCCAGGGAAACCTAGGAGGCTTCAAGGCTTCTTGGTTGAAAAAAAGAAATTATCTGTAATTTTGTGATAGAATGCAAAACTTCTCATCTCATACGTACACCAGCCCATGGATATGCACTTTCTGTTGTCAACTATTGTCCTAAATAAGCATAGAATCATAGAATGGTTTGGGTTGGAAGAGATCTCAAAGATCATCTAGTTCCAGCCCCCCTGCCATGGGCCGGGACACCCTCCACTACACCAGGTTGCTCAAAGCCTCATCTTTGAGCCTCATCTTACGGCCTACAAATACTTGAGAAGGGATGGTGGGGAGGTAGGGGAAGGGCTCTTTACGTTAGTGATGGGTGATAGGACAAGAGGAAATGGGTATAAGCTTAGTCAGGGGAGATTCAGGTTGGACATTAGAAAGTATTTTTTCTCTGAAAGAGTTGTCAGCCAATGGAATAGGCTGCCCAGGGAGGTGGTTGAGTCCCCATCCCTGGATGTGTTTAAGAAAAGGGTGGATGATCTACTTAGGGATATGGTTTAATGGGAGATTAGGGATGGTTGGACTGGATGATCTCTAAGGTCTTTTCCAACCTTGAAATCTATGAAATCTAACCTGGACTTGAACACTTCCAGGGATGGGGCAGCCACAACTTCTCTGGGCAACCTGGTCCAGTGCCTCACCACCCTCAATGTAAAAAATTTCTTCCTTCTATCTATTCTAAATCTCCGCTCTTTCAGTTTAAAGCCATCACCTCTTGTCCTGTCACTACACGCCCTTGTAAAAAGTCTCTCTCCAGCTTTCCTGTAGGCCCCCTTTAGGTACTGGAAGGCTGCTATAAGATCACCCCGGAGCCTTCTCTTCTCCAGGCTGAAATAAGCATAACAACATCCTACAGTGCAACACCAAAAGGTCCATGCCACAGAGAACAACAGCTAATAAATACAGGAGATCTGCTGTGTCATGCTTTATCATTGGTAGCAAGCTTGGTCTTTGCTTGTACATGTGCTGCTCAACACAAGCCTTACAAAAGCTGAATATTCGTATTGGGAAGCAGAGTCCTTACATTCTGGTTACTTTTTTGTCTCAATGGAGTAACAACAGACAACTGGCTAAATTAAAGTATCCCAGCTGGCACTGTAGCTTTTGTTAGATCAAATTAAAACATTCCCATTTGCTTTCGGTCTTCTCATTAAATTCAGGCAGCTTACCTAATTTGACATCTCCATGGTCTGTTAGTAGAATATTTGCACCCTAAAACATAATAAATGGAAAGTTAGAATGCTTTATCAGGAACATTGTTCTGCACCAGAAAGTTTAACATAAGTTTCTCAAAGTTCCAAGTTACCTTGATATCTCTATGCATTTTGCCCTTCATATGCAAATAAGCAAGACCCTGGAAATAAGAGAGACACAACACTTTGTTTTGTCATTTGTCAACATACTACAAAGCCAGTCCCATTTAATAAATTGAAACTACTCGATGTATTCTATTTGAAAGTGGAGAAATTTGAGATTTGCAGACAAGAGGTGCGCTGGATTCTGCTCCTCATCTCTCCCAGCTCCAGTCAATACACGTGAAGACTTGCTTAAACCAGCCCTGGTGGAACATCTCCCTTCACTAAAATTAACTATATTTTTGAAGTCCTGAAGGTTTCCACAAGCAGTTGTTCAGCCTTTAAGCTGCCCTTCCAGCACTACGAGTCCCTGCAGCAAGGAGAGATCAGGAACAGAACCCCCAGGCGGATGAGTTCATGGATCTACACCTCTGCCTCCGGCAGGGACCAGGTCAGCCACCGCTTCAGGGAAAGGTGTGTGTCCCGTGATTCTCTCACATAATTATTCATGGATACAAAGAGCAGAGAAAGAAAAGTTCCTTTAAGAAACAAGCTTATCTTGCATTTCTACAGTTATTAGCAATCCCAAAACGAAAGATAATTTTAGTCATCTGGTTGCAGTATTTTTCCTCTAGGAATTATTAGGAGTTTACTGCCATAGATCAAGCAGGCAGTTTAAAATACGCTGCCTTTTTTTTTTCCCCCTCCATTACTCAGCTACTTACTCTTGCTTACTAGATATTAGCTGTTTTGTGCAACAAGATTCAAAAATTTGTCCTGCTGCACTGAATCACTGTGTCAGAACGATGGAGGAAAATAGCCCAGACCACACTGGGGTCACAACCTGCGCAGATCTGTCTTCCACAGTTTCCCTGAAACCAGGAGGCTCACCAAAGAAAGAGGAGCAGGATAGTTTGCAATATTTCGGTCCTGCAGTGGGATCCACAGAGACATCTGCTCTCGTGTAAACTCCTTTGCAAATTACAGCACAGAAGCAGCACTGCCCTGACAAGGATTTTAAGCAAGTATTTGTAGAGTATTACTGAAATTTCTTGCTAATCTTATTTCCAATATGGAAACTAACAGATTAACCCTGGTTAATTAGATTCAGCTAGATTCCCAGTGCTTAGAAATGTAAGTGATGGTATTGCAGCACTTTGTGAAATCATCTTCTGGATCTACTTTCCATACGTGGAGCAAACACTTCACCATAAACCTGCAGAAGTACAGTACCTGTAAAGTTTCTCTGCATACATATGCAATTTGCAACTCTGACAGAGGTCCTGTTACTGAAAACAAAGATTAAGAGGTGTGTAAGTCTACAGTATACAACACAAATAACATTATGGAGCAGCCCAAAAGTGGTATGTCCATGCAAAAGTTAAAGACTGATTTTATATGAACCATATTTTACATTGAGCTGGAAAAGAGGGTTTTATTTGCTTGTTTTACAGAAAGGCTTTCTGTAAAAAAAAAAACAAACACAAAAACATAGCACAATAACAGAAGACTATCCACAGTGAGAAGAAAACTTGTTTTGACAGAAATCTAATTATTATTTTACAAGTGACTTCGTAGTAATGTAATATCTGTATTCTGAGGAAGGCAAAAAACCAATAAAAGTGACTTCTGCTGATTTTTAATATTAGAAATGGCAGTGTTCTACACTAGGGGTCTATGAGACTTTGAATTGTTTTAAAGCTATGTGTATGTGTACTACCTGGCTGAAAAATAAAGCAGAAAGAGCTCTGGTATTCAAAAACTCCATGTTATCATTTAAAGGCAGAGCAAGTCCCCAGACTACTTTTCCAACAACTCCAATAAATCCTTCTACACAATCAACAGCTCTAGATGAAACCTCAGAGGGGAGAATAATAATTAAAGAGCGGTACAGCACTGCACAGGAGCAAGAATAACAAGTCATTTCTACCCCTTAAAGATCAAATGTAGAGATTTCCCAGTAAAAACTGCTTCCTAACACCACATCTCCATATACAATTGGCATGACAGGACATTAGCCCAAAATGATGGTCACTATATTAGAGAAGTGTTCTCAACAATTTTGTTGACTGTAGCTTAAAAAACACTGTTCATGCCCTAAGAGAAAATATGTGCAGTGCCTGGCCAGTACCAACCATTCCTCGTTAATTTATTATTCATTTTTCTTATTCCCAGAAAGCTTCCAACAGGTACAAACGTTAAAATAAGTTTCAAAATACCATGGTAAATATCTTGGAGGGATCCCCCACCGCAGTATTCCATGCATATCCACAGCTTCTCACGGCTAGCAAAAGAAAGTTAAAACACAGGCATCAGAAGCTGATTGATTCGTATACAGAACAGAGTTAATAATGATTATTTAAAGTATTTTCTATTGGTCTTGATCACTCTTTGTTAAAAATACACATTCTGATACATGAGTAGCTGATATATGTTTTACGTGTTATTAATAACCCCAAAATAAATTCTCCCCTATCAAAATGAAAATTTTATGCAAAAGTCACTGAGAAGTCTTTAAACATTATCAGATCTAAAAGGTGTTGCTTCAACTCTGACCTTCTGATTGCAATAAAGGACATGAAGAAGAAACAACTGAGGTTTATCTGCTATCAGCAGGATTACAGTAGATAAGATTGAAAGGATGAGTTTAGTGTGTTAAATTGAAATTACCTAAACAACTCTTCATGGCCTCCAAAAAAAGTACTGGGGATTTAGAAATTTAGCCATTTTGTCCCAGCTGAAGTCCATTTGGGCTGTATAAATTACTTAAAAAATGCAGCCCTCCAAGAAATCTAAAGATGAAGCCTCGTCGAAAAAGACCAAACAGGCGAAGTGGTGAGATATATATTCCCACAGAGCCAATTGCTAAATGGCAGAGTTTCACAGAAATGGAAAATATTCCCCAGCTTTCTGTACAACATTTAATGGGTGCACTTGAAGATGCAGCCAGCTGGCATCACCTTGTTTCTGCCTCTCAGTACGTCGCAGCTGTTACACCAGAATTATGAAAAATGTTATTATCAGCAGCTCAGATTTAGTGTTTTGCTCTTAAAACACTGGCTATGCTCACTGACAATACTGCCATTCAATAAAATATATAAAAGCAATTCTGCCCTAGACAAATAACGAGCTACTTTTATTCTGGAAGTGATAAACGTTTAAAATCTGCCCCACAAATGAGTAGGATTGGCTATGTCGCAAGAGTCTCCAGGGGAAAAGTTGCTTTCAGTTCCTGGTGATAAAAATATTCCAGCCTTTTGGCCAGCAGAGAAAACAAAGTATTAGTCATTTTTTTTTTTTTTTAAAGGCAACTAGAAACCAAAGGGAATTCAACCTAGAGAAGAACACTAAGAGAAGATAAGTACTAAACCAGACTGAGCACAGTTTTAGGAAAGAACCAGCAGAAATGCAGGTACAAAAAAAGGGGAAGTTTACCTGAGATAGCTCCCAAAATAGGCGACTATGTTGCAATGTTTGCATTCTTTAACCATATATATTTCTTGCTGTATCAATGAAAAGTCGTCTCCTGAAAAACAGGAAGCAGCCACAGTTACATCCCACACAACTGAACGTTCAGCGAGATCTGAAACTGTGCACAGAACTCAAAAAAAAAACCAAGCCAAGGACCATGACGATCACTAAGCCCTTTCCAGCACACCAGCCTGCTCGTTAAAAGTTACCTACAGGCACCATCCTTTCCGTTTCCATTCTTTATTACAGCCTTTGCATGAGCCACCACTATTTCTTGAAGACCAAGAGAGAAGGGCTGGCCTGGTGGCCTGAACAAGATCCATTGGATAAGACAGCTCAGCACGCACCGAGAGTGCTTTGAAACAGAATCATAGAATCACAGAACAGTTTGTTTGGGTTGGAAAGAACCTCAAAGATCATCCAGTTCCAAGCCCCCTGCCATGGGCAGGGACATCCTCCAACACACCAGGTTGCCCAAAGCCTCATCCAACCTGGCCTTGAACACTTCCAGGGATGGGGCAGCCACAGCTTCTCTGGGCAACCTGTTCCAGTGCCTCCCCACCCTCAGAGTGAAAAAGTTCTTCCTTAGATCTAATCTAAATCTCCCCTCTTGCAGTTTAAAGCCATCACCCCTTGTCCTATCACTACATGCCCTTGTCCAAAGTCCCTCTCCAGCTTTCCTGTAGGCCCCCTTTAGGTACTAGGAGGCTGCTGGAAGGTCTCCCTAGAGCCTTCTCTTCTCCAGGCTGAACAGCCCCAACTCTCTCAGCCTGTCTCCAGAGCAGAGGTGCTCCAGCCCTCGGATCATCTTTGTGGCCTCCTCTGGACTCGCTTCAACAGCTCCATGTCCTTCTTGTGCTGGGGACTCCAGAGCTGAACTGGGGGTGTCTCACGAGAGCAGAGCAGAGGGGCAGAATCCCCTCCCTTGACTTGCTGCCCACACTGCTTTGGATGCAGCCCAGGACACGGTTGGCCTTCTGGGCTGCCAGCGCACATTGCCGGCTCATGTTGAGCTTCTCATCCACCAGCACCCCCAAGTCCTTTTCCTCAGGGCTGCTCTCAATCCACTCTCCACCCAGCCTGGACTTGTGCTTGGGAAAGGGATCTCACGGTAGGATGGGAGCACATGAGAAAACTCCAGAGCAGCCCCTCTACAGCCGTCAGACAGCCCCAGCTGGAGCTGAGTGGGCTTTACGGGGACATGGTGCTCATGGCACAAGGGTCCCAGCGACACAAGGGAAAAAAGGGCTGTGAACTAATTCCAGAGTTCCCTGCCTGAAACCAGCAGAGATCACATACCATAGGCTCGTTATTAGAAGTATTTCGTTTCAAAACGATTCTCAGGGAGCATATGGCCTGCACGCCCACTCAGCCACCGCTGACTCAGAAGAGAAGCACAGAGTCCTCAACACGGACTGCCTTGTGATGAGCGCGTTTTTGGATGAGCACAGCTACATAAGCACATTTGCACATCCCAATCACCCTTTGCCAAAAAAAAAAATAAATAATAGTTCTACTGAAAACTGTATTACGGTCAGAGCAACAGCCTAGTGAGATTCTGCCTCTTTAAATTAAAAGGGTAAAAACTGTCATAAATTTATTTTAAAATAATAATTTTATAGATGCAATTAAACAAACTAAAATATCTGAGAGCTAGGAAAAACCACTGGTATACTTTTATTAAATCCCATTGAGAGAATTTCCAAACAGAGGATGTTCTCCCCGGAATCTAGAGCTGAAATTCCTAGATTTTTAGAAGGCAAATCTAGAGCTTTGCCTCCCTGAAGCTCAGGACAGGTCGACAGCCGGCCCCACGCTGGTGTTCCTCCGGAGGCACGGATCAGCTGCCTTTGGAGGAGCAGCCTGAACAGCAGAGACGACGTATCAAGTAACATCAGCACAGCCCGACAGCCTCCCTCTGAAGAGCAACATGGCAAAAATCAGCCTATTGGGCCACCCTAGACGCGTGCCTGCTTTGTGATCATGCATATATATACATATACATTACTACCTTCCTTCCTTTGGCATGAACAAAACTTCTGAACAGATTGCAAGACAGGAAAGACTAGAATTTAGGATAAGGTTTTCGATAAAATGCTGCTCCAGACGGTATGGTAGCTACCACGTCCTCTCAAGGAGAAAATTGCTTCGTATGTTCACTTTTGTTTAAAGTTTCACTAGCGAAAGTTATCTCCTACTATCAACGTCAGGGATGTGCAACGCAGAAAACATGAACTGCTTTGTACTGCTCCCTTTAATTTATATGATTTTGACAAGTCCAAGAGGTCTCAAGCACTGCTGTAAATTCTCTTCGCATTCTTCACGTGTTTATTTAACAAGTAACAGTCTAATACTTTTAATAACCTCTGTAAAACCAGATATTTTTATTTGCTGTGCTTTGAAGACACTTCCCTGAGCAACGATGTCACCGGTGCCCGCAGGACCCGCAGCAACTGGTAGTGACGTACAGCCCCATGGCACTTACCATCCCTTCGGACACCCTGGCTCTCCATACGTACACTGGTACCCAGCAGATGTTCACGGATATAGAAAAAGAAGTGCCAATTTGGTATAACAACTTCCAAATATCACAACCTTTAGGTCTCAGTGACTACCAGACTCCTGCTTAAGAAGGTAACTACGAAATCCAAAGGTAGAAGGGAGCACGCGTGTATGAACACATCCCTGAGCCATTTCAGTAAGTCCTCAAGGGCTTCTTGAAGCTGAATTGTACGGAAAAACACTTCATCGGGGCAGGAAAACATTAGTAGAAGAGTTTCAAATGTCACGAGTCTTTTTCAAAACACAAGTAGTATTTTTTTTAAATAATGAAAAAATGAAAAGGCACCACCATTTCCATAAATTTGGCACGGATTTCACACTGTGCTTGCTTCATGGGTTACCCTTTGGCTACAGCTTTGCTTGAATTCATGCACCCTGCCTATAAATGATTACTACGAACAAAAGATTTTCCAGTTTGGATCAGGTGGATTCATTCCTCCCATTTCTCTGACAAACCTTCTAAGGGAAATTGTTGCGTGTTCAGAGATAACTCACTGGAGCATTTTAAAACCAAAGCTTTTCAAGAAAGCCAAATCTAAGCAAGTTTGAAGGCAAAAGCCTCCCACCCCACACCAAAGAAGTGTTTACTCCAACACTATTAGCTGTCCATGAGTTCAGAGTATCGGATGCCAAATAGCCATGTCCTCTTCTTAAACTGCCATCTTCAAAACAAAGAATCTTTGATACGTCAGAAGCAGCATTTCCAAACAGCTGAACGTTGTCATATGCGAGAATCATGATCAAGAAGCATCCCCCTAACAGCAAAAATTTGCAGGCAGCAGCCGGAATTGCCTGTCGACAGCACATCCACTGGGCTGCCCAGTGTGGAGCAACGAGAACGTCAGTTCTAATGGGGAAAAATTGAAGGAAATACAGTGATTTGGGCTGGAAAAAGACTGACAGTCGAAAAGATAACAGCCTTCATGTACATAAAAGATATCACGGGACAGGGGACAAGGGATAATCCATTCTCCAGTTTTGTGGTAGGACAATTAGCAATGGGCTTAAATTGCCTTAACCTACATTCCCTGCACAGATGAAAAGCTTTTCCTACTGGACTAACATCGCAGCACTGAACTCGAAGGGATGGGAAGCTGTGAAATTTCCTGCCAGTGGAAAAAAAAATGAAGAAAACACTGAAGAAGTACACATCAGGAGTGACTTCGGCCAATCCTGCCTGTAGTAGAGGAAGACAGAAAAGATGACCCCTTGTTTGCAATTAATAAACGAAAAATGTATGCAAGAAATGGGGTTACCTACAGAAAAAAAGGAAAAAAAAAGGATTTCAAAGAGGAAAGGGGGGTACAGGCTGAATACAGACAAGGAGTTGATAGAAAAGTAGCAAACAGATGGAAAGAAGAGGAGAAGTATCCATGAGAAAAGTTTGGCTAAAATATGTAGAAAATTATTTTGAAAGATCAGACACAGAGATAGGAGAGAAGATGTATAGTCGTTCAAAGATGACAAGAATGAATTCGAAACAAAGGAATTCAGAGTTTCCAGGCAGCTGGAGTATTAATCTTGGCAAGAGACACTGGAATAGGGCAAAAATTAAATATCCTTGGATAGCTTGGAAAAAAAAAAAGACGACAGTAAGACAAAGAATTTGTAGAAAATACTTTATCGAGAGGGAGACAGCAAGATAAAAAGAACGAGATCAAAGGTGACAATATATCCGTACGGCGAGATTTTCATCTGGTTTAGTCATCGGAGATCGCTTGACGCTCGACAACACGGAATCGGAAAAATGTACTTTTTGTCTACTCACATGTTTGCAATTATGGGTTATGCGGCGCGCTGAGCAAAAAGCACCGTTCAGGGAGCTGCCGTAAATCACGCGAGCGGCGTGGTGAGTCACTGCACTTTGCTACTATTACGTAATTTTACCTCTGCAGCAAGACACAATGGAGCATGACAATGGAATATTCTCCTCCCATCACAGCCCGCGGTCCAGGCTGCTCTGCTTGGCACAACCAGCTGCTTGTTCTCCGGCACAGCTGGCAGGGAGGAGACTGCTGGAACTTGCAGCCGTATCACCATGTGCTGCAATCAGATCCCATTCAGAAGCAAAGCAAAGTAAATTAATGATAAATCCATATTTAAACGGGAGGATCAATGAGAAAATTGACGGCCCATTAACAGCAGTGAATTTTTCTACTTGCAGACACTACTTCTCACCTACGTGGAACTGGCATGTATAGATGTCCTACCAAGTTGTCCTAGATGGAGAGCATCTGTATCCTGGATCCACTTACCCTCCTCTGCAGCATGGGAAGGCTCCGATGGCTCTGGTGCCTCTCACACAGAGCTATTAGGTCTTCTGAGCACATCTGACTTTCACAGTTTTTAAGCAAGTTTATTCCTGGCCATCTTTTCACGTGCTCCACTGACTGCTTTGAGTGGTCCCATGCTGCAAAGACCCAGAGCCACTTGTCACAACTCCTCCTGGGTCAGCTGTGAATCTCTTTATTGTCCAAAAAGCTCCTCAGGGGA